GCATACAGCTGGGTCTTTTAATCCCTTCAGCCACACTATACCTTTTAGTTGGGGAATTTAACCTATTTACATGGAAGTTTATTGTTGATAGGTAAGGACTTATTCCTGCTATTTTATTAATTGCTTGCTGGCTGTTTTGTAGATTCTTTGTTCCTTCCTTCCTCTCTTGTTGTTTACCTTTGTGGTTTAGAGGTTTTCTGTGGTGCCACCACTGGGTATATATCCAAAGGAAATGAAATCTGTATGTCAAAGAAACATCCGCATTCCCATGTTTATTTTAGAACTATTGACAGTAGCCAAGATATAGAATCAACCTATGTGTCTAACAGCAGATGAATACATAAAGAAAATGCTGTGTATATGCATGGTGTAATACTGTTCAGCCTTTAAAAAGAAGGAAATCCTGTCATTTTGAGAACATGGATGAACCTGGAGGACATCATGTTAAGCCAAGCATGAAAAAACAAATACTGCATGTTCTCACTCATATGCAAAACCTTAGAAGTTGATCTCCTAGAACTTAAGAGTAGAACAATGATTACCAGAGAATGGGGAGGGGAAGGGTAAGAAAGCGATGAGCTTGGTCAGCAGGTAAAAAGTTAGAATTAGAGAAGTTTGGTGTCCTGTTGCACAGTAGGGTGACTATAGTCAACAAAAAGGTATTGTGTATCTCAAAATAGCTAGGAGAGGGGATTTTGTGTGTTCCCACCATAAAGAAATTATGTTTGAGGTGATGGATATGCTAGTCAGGATAAATCAGGATAAAAAATTATCCTGATTAGATCATTACCTAATGTATACGTGTATTGAAATATCACTTTGTACCCAGTAAATATATACAATTAGTATGTGTCCCTTTTTTTTTTTAAGTATAGAAAACTGATAGTGGCATGTAAGCAGATTTTTTTTTTTTTTTTGGAGACGGAGTCTTGCTCTGTCACCCAGGCTGGAGTGCAGTGGCACGATCTCGGCTCACTGCAACCTCCACCTCCCGGGTTCAATCTATTCTTCTGCCTCAGCCTCCCAAGTAGCTGGGATTACAGGCATCTGCCACCATGTCCGGCTATTTTTTTTTTCTGTATTTTTAGTAGAGATGGGGTTTCACCATGTTGGCCAGGATGGTTTTGAACTCCTGACCTGAAGTGATTCGCTCACTTTGGCCTCCCAAAGTCCTAGGATTGCAGGCATGAGCCACCGTGCCCGGCCTGTGAGCAGACTTTTAAAGGTTAAATTATAGTTCACCAGTAGAAAAAGATGGGAGGTAACCCTATTCAAAGATAGCCAGGCACCCAAGGACATTGTCACTTTTGTGATTCTGAACTCCCCAGTACAAGGCACAGAAGAGATGAACGGGGCCCATCCCTGAAGGCGTGTGTCAAGAACTTGGTCCTGCATCCCGGAGGCTCGCTGAAGGGCTTTAGGCCAAGGAGTAATACGGACAGAATTACCTGTTCTCGTCATTCCTCTGGCAGTCCCCAGGTGTATAGGGTGGGGACTGGCAGTTCCTGGAAGCATAGGAAGTAGGTACTTGGCTATGGCAACAGGCGATGCCAGAGAAGGTGAGGCCCTAAGTCAGGCAGGGACAAGGAGGGAGGGCAGGCAGAGCAGGAGGTCCTGTGAGGGAATCCACTGAAGTTAGTGACTGGCAGACTGGTGAGTGAGGGAGAGCCCTAAGTCTGCTGCCTTCTGTGAGCTTCTGGGGGATGGCATCGTCAACTGAGGAAGGAAAGACGGACGAAAGAGCAATGGGTGTTGTATTGGAGGAACTGTGGAGAGACAAGGTGTGTTGTGTTGGAGGAAAGCCTGAGCAGTTTTGAGGGATTTAGTCACAGTAATCCATGACTGCAGTTAGCTTACAAAGTCATGAGAACTATTAAAATGAGACTGCTATCCATATATTTGTCAACTTCACTTGGGCCTTGGACATGGCCTAATATGTTTCACTAGTCAATTGACAACCCAAATCATTAAAATGCTCTGTTATTTTCAAATGTTGAACTTTCTCATTCCCTCATTTCCACATTCTCCCTCTACAGATAACCTCATCTCTTACTTCATCTCAAAGTAGAAATGATTTCTCCAAAACTGACCACATCACTACTGAAATTCCCTATTTTCACTGGTTCTGAAAGAGATCCCCCCCAAACCCAACCGCTTAAGCCAGCAACAGGGTTATCCATGCCCAAACTGAAGGAAGAGCTTGATGAGAGGACGTCAAGAAGAAAGGTCAGCGCTAACTGATGACCGTAGTAGTCAAGAATGGAAGCAGAGGGAGAATGAGGGGGAAGCCAGGAAAGGTCCCCATAGGCTCCTAGGACCATGGTTGGAAGCATGTTTGTCGTGGAGCCCCCAAGTACCAAATGGGTACGTTAGGCCTAAGGACTTTCGAAGTCACTTCCACCCATAGGCTTACCAGCTTTGTAATCTGGAACCAATTATTTTACACCTAAATGAGTGTTAGACTAGATTTCTTTAAGGTCTCTTGGAGCTTTAAAATGTTATGATTCCCTTGAGAACATTTCAAAATGTGTGTGTGTGTGTGCACGCGCGCATTACAATCTTAGCTGCCTACGTTACAAACTGAAGGTCTTGCTTTAATAATTTCAACTAACTGATAAAATCAAAGGCTTCTTTATGTCATTCTTCTGCCCTACTAAACATAGGTGTGGATAGTATTAAATGAATCTGTAAATATGAGTGGGGATCAAACACATCGCCTGGCTAATATTTGTACAAAGCAGTTCCCAAAACATTGAAAAGTTCACTGCAACAAAACCAATTTACGATTGATGAAAAGGTCTCTCAGTTGTAACCTTTAAATGCATGACATTTCAATCAGAATATCGAGTTAGCAGTTTCAGACTTTGACTTTTCAGACAGACACTGATACAAAAATACATTTCATATCATTATTGTTTAATATATTATTTTTGTTTGAAATTGATAGTTGTCCTACAATTTTATGTCTAGCTGAATTCCCAAAGTAGAAGTACTAATGTGCAGAGAATTCATGAAAGGTTTTCAAATGTCTTATAAATGTAAGATTATTTGAAGCTGTATCGGCTTGTAATTTAAGGCCTGCAGCTGTTGGTATGATAGAAGCATCAAATTTCAAAAGAAGTTGTGGTAGAGTGTGAATAAGCAGAATGAAGAGAAAAGTCTCCTGAGAAGAAAATAAAATGAAAATGTAGCATATGCATTGTTACAGCATTGCTCCTTTTTTTCTTCATTTTTTATTTCAGGTTCAAGGGGTACATGTGCAGGTTTGTTACATAGATGAATTGCATATCACCAGGATTTGATGTACAAATAATTTCATCACCCAGGTAGTAAGCCTAGTACCCAACAGTTTTCTGATCCCCACCTTTCTCCCTCCCTCCTTCCTCAAGTAGGCCCCAGTATCTGTTGTTCCCAACTCTGTGTGCGTGTATACTAAGGCACAGTTTCTTACATTCAAGGTTTAGTACTAAAATGCAAATATGAAGTATATAATTTAGTAAGTTTTAATTCATGCTGCATACCAGGCCACATAAAAATAAGGCAAAATAAAATATTAAAATTATTCAGAAGTTGGATATTTATTCTATTGCCTTTACACCTTATAAAATGGAATGGCCTAATTACTCTTAAATGAAGATAAAGACAATTTAAGATCACGTTGTAACATTCACATCATTTGTTAAACATAATAGAAATGTGAGTTTCCTAGAAAAGAACGGTCATAATTTTAACATGCAGAGTTTGTTTACCTTCTATTATGGTGATCTTTGTTTAGGATTTTCTCCTCAGATATTAACGTTTTTCACTTAAAGAGGCTCAGGGAAAGTGATTTTTAAAGAGTCACTGTTACATGGTAATATGCATTTGGATGAGACTAGTATATGTGTAATATATATAGTCACAAGTTCTAACTTGCATATTAATTTGAAGAGATTTTTCATAAAATTTTATCAATATTGGTTTCTAATGGA